GGAGAAGACCCCCACTGACATGGGAGAACGTGTGAACTCCACACAGACAGTGGCCCCAGCGGGAATCGAGTTTTTTTCCTCATCAATGTTGAATGGAATGACGCTAGTAGAGGACCTGCTGTATTGTTGTGTAAGTCTCACTTCTACATGTAGGAAAGCATTTTAGTGTATGTACATTTTCAACTTTCCTAGGCATTGGTTAATTGCTTTCCCAAATGATTTTTGCCATACATCCACAAGGAATAAGGCTCATATTGCTCCATGTCCTTACCAGTGTCTGGTATCACCAGATTTTTTTCCTCAAAATTATTGGGTGTGGAAGGCCTAACTAGATATATTTGGTCACTTTAAAATTTCACTGAATACTAGTAATTTTGAATATCTTCTATCATGCCTATTGTCCGTTTCTGTTTCTGCTTCTGTGACTTTCTTGTTCATATTTTTATACATTTTTCTATTAACTTGCTTGTGCTTATCTTGTGATTTCTAGGAGTTACTTACATATTGTACATACAAAACCATTGTTGGTTATTTTATGTGCATTGAAAATAATTTTCTTAATCCTCTTGTGGGGATTTTAGTGTCTCCCTCACACTTACTGTCTAGTGTGATAAAGATAATGTTTCCTTCTGGAGCAAAGATTTGGCATGCTTACAGCCCATTATAAAAGATTCGGGTTCCTTAAGCTCAAGATCCCTCTCCTGAGGCACAACCCACTGTATGTGCAGGTGTCATCTGGCTGTCTTGTGTCACATTGTGGGAATGGGGCTTACAGAAACTGCACAAAAATGCTGATATGCTGTTTTTGGTGTGAGCAATAAATATGGTTCTTTATCCCTGATATTTAGGAGTGTCCTATAGTATACAGAAAAATGTGCTGGGATAACTTGATAGCTTGTAAGAATGGTGAAATCTCAGGACTTTCACAGTTCTTAAATATCTTATTGTATCTATTAATAAGATGAGGTATATCAATTTTATTAAACTTTTCAAAGAGTCAGCTTTTTATTTTGTCTCTACAGTCTTTCTTTTTTTTTACTTTATTGATGTTTGCTCTGATATTTTTTCCATATTTATTTTGTTTTTAATTTGCTCATTCTCTTCAAGTTTCTTAGTATGGATCCTGAGGTCTTGATATAAGATCTTTATTTTTAATATA